AACGTCCTCCACAACTAGACTGAAGAACAAAAGGACAGCAACTTGTCTGTTCCCCTTCCCCCAATTCCCCAATAAAAATCTTAAAAAAAATTAAATAATGGGCTTAGGAAACTCAGCTGACCTGGTGGAGGAAAGAATTAGTGATATCAAAGATAGACATCTGGAAATGACAAGATGGAAGAGAGAGACTTGAGAGTTAAAAGAAATGAAAGAAATCTACAAGAAATATGTGACAAGAGAGGGAGCAGGACACAGAGCCTATTCAAATAAATACTCAGTGAGAATTTCCCAAACCTATGGAACGAACTGGATCCTTGAATCCAAAAAGCAAACAGAGCACCCAATTATCTCAATCGAAAAAGGCCTTATCCAAGGCATTTTATATTAAAACTGCCAAAAATTAGTGACAAAGGAAGAATTCTCAGGGTACCCAGATAAAAGAAGATGGTAACCTATAAAGTAAAGCCCACTGGATTATCATCAAATTTTTCAGCAGAAAATCTATAAGCAGGATGAAATGGAATCAAGTACTCAAACTATTGAAAGAGAAATTATCAGCCAAGAATAATATATACAGCAAAGTTATCCTTTGGATATGAAGGAAAAATATAGATCTTTCCAGACATACAGAGGCTGAGGGAATTTTTTGCCACAAGACCTACATTATGGAAAATACTAAAGGGTGTTATTCTACCCGAAACAAAAAGGCAAAAGGATACAAAATATGAGTAAGATGACTAATGGACACACACAGAAGCAGGATATTGCAACCTTTATTAAGAATAAGGCACTATACATTTAAATACAACATAAAGGTTAAAGGAGGTAAAAACATAAAAAGAGAAGAGAAAACTAGCTACTGCAACTTGGAAATTAACTCACAACATAAATAGAAATAATATGTGACAATAAAAACATAAAAGAGGAAGGGGTAAAGGTATGAATTTGCAAAGGGGAATGGAAATAAGATGCACACAGAAGAAGGAAAAACTGCTGTATAAGGGCCGGCTGAGTGGCTCAGTTGGTTAAGAGGTTGCTCAAGAGTGTGAGCTCTGAGCAACAATGGTTTGTTTCCCAGCCCGAGCTGAGCAGAATGGCAGAATGGCTCAGCTTAAAAACAAACAAACAAACAAACAAAACACTGCTGTATATATAAAACTTTCTTTTACATAAACTTAATGGTAACCACACACACACACACACACACACACACACAAATCAACAACTGAGACACAACATAAAAAACAGAAAACAGAGGAAAAAAAATCATACAACATCACCAAACTAAAATAACAGAAACACTAGGGCAATGTAACAATGAAGAAACTGAACTACCAGAAAACAAAAGATAAAATGGCTATAGGAAATCTTCATAAATCAATAATCATCCTAAATGTAAATGGATTGAACTCACCAATAAAAAGGCATGGAGTAGCAGATCGAATCAAAAAACAAAACTCAACCTATGCTGCCTTCAAGAGACACAACTCAGCTTCTAGGACAAATATAGACACAAAGTGAAAAGATGGAAAGCAACACCCCCAAGCAATGGTATCCAGGGAAAATCAGCTATAGCCATACCTATATCTGACAAAATAGACTCAAATAAAACATAAATAAACAACAAGAGACAAAGAGGAACATTTCCTAATGCTAAAGGTGACAATACATAAAGAAGACAAAACACTTAATGTAAATGTTCCCAATCAGGGAACAGAAAATATAAAAAGCAATTATTAACAGAACTAAAGGGAGAAACTAACAAAAACACAATTATAGTAGGGGACCTAAATACCCCATTGACAGGCATGGATAGATCATCCAAACAGAAAATCAATAAGGAAACATTGGCCTTAAATGACACAATGGACACAATCCACATTACAGAACCTTTCATCCCAGAACACCATTTGCACATTTTTATGTAGTATGCATAGAACATTCTCAAGGATAGACCATATGTTGAGACACAAAACTAGCCTCAACAAATTTAAGAACTAAAATCAAACAAAGCATATTCTCCAAACACAGTGCTTTAAAATTGGAGATCTACTGAAAAAGAAAGTGAGAAAAACCACCAATATGTAGAGAATACACAATATGCTACTAAAAAATGACTGAGTCAAAGAAGATGTAAAAGGAAAGATCAAAAGATACATAGAAAAAGATTAGAATGAAAATATAACATATCAAAACTTTTGGGATGTGCAAAGTGGTAATAAGAGGGAATTTTCTATCATTAGAGACCTATCTCAAGAAACAAGAAAAATCCCAAATAAACAACCTAACATTACATTTTAAAGAACTAGAAAAAGAAGAACAAGTGAAGCCCAAAGTCAACAAAACAAAGAAAATACTAAAAATTAGAGAGTAAAATAGAAAACAAAAAGACATTAGAAAAAAATTAATGAAGCAAAGAGTTGGTTCTTTGAAAAGATTAATAAATTTGACAATCCCCTGGCAATACTCACTAAGAAAAAAGGGAAAAGATACAAATATAATAAGAAGTGTAAGAGACGTTATTACAGATACCACAGAAATACAAAGGATCATACAAGAATACTAGGAAAGACTACATTCCACCAAATTCAATAACCTAGAAGAAATGGACAAGCACTTTGAAATATATAACCTTCATAGATTAAATCATGAAGAACTGGAAAATCTAAACAGATCAACAGCAAGGAAATTGAAACAATCATCCAAAACCTCTGAAAAAGCAAACGTCCAAGACCAGGTGGCTTCACAACTGAATTCTACCAAACATTCAAAGATGATTTATACCTGTCCTCCTCTAACTCTTTCAAAAAATTAAAGAAGTGGTCTCCCTAACAACAAATGAGTCCATCTGGTCCCCTAAAAAATATTTATAACATTATTGATTACATTTCCCAGACTGTCTTTCTATCCCTGAGGCCATATTGTAGTTACCAATTTGTATTGTCTCGTATTTCTGAAGCTGATGCTGAATAATAATGTATGTCAACTATAATTATATATACATATAATCACGGGATGTGGAGTAGAGAGTGGGAATGGAGTCAATGGAATTGTAATAGGTAAGTATGATATCGGGGGGTGGGAGGGCAGTAGATGGGGGATGGGAGTTGTCACTTTGTGAGGGGTGAAAAGGATAACTAGTGCATTCTTCTGTACACCTGAAACTAATTTTAAAAAAATTAAAGAAGAGACAGTGCTTCCTAACTCATTTTATGAGGCTAATATTACCCTGAAACCAAAACTTGGTAAGGGTAATGCAAAAAAAAGGAAACTACAGACCAATATCTCTGATGAATACTCATACAGATGTAAAAATCCTAAGAAAAATACTGAAAAATCTATATATTAAACAGATTACATACATCACAATCAAGGGGCTCATTCCAGGGGTGCAAAGATGGTTCAACATACATAAATAGATCAATGTGATACACCAGAGAAACAAAATAAAGGATAAAACTCATATGACCATATCAATATTTGCACAAAAAAGCATTTCACAAGTACAACATCCATTTATGATTTAAACACTTAATAAAATGGGTATACAAAGAAAGTACCTCAACATAATAAAGGCCTTATATGACAAACCCTCAGCTAATATCAAACTTAATTGGGGAAAACTGAAAGCTTTTCCTCTAAGATCAGTAACAAGACAAGAATGTCCCCCTCACTATTGTTATTTATCATAGTATTGGAAGTCCTAGCAACAGCAATCAGGCAAGAGAAAGAATTTAAAATCATCCAAAGTGGGAATAAAGACGTTAGATTGTTACTTTTTGCAGATGACATAATTCTTTTAAAAAACTAACATACAGTTTTATGTGTCTTATTAAGCATTGTATAGCACTATAATTACTTGGGAAGATAGATAACCAACTGATTCTATTATCAACTGATTCTAATACCAACTGATTCTATTACCCATGCCTGCTTGAGCAAGCAAACCTGAAAATATTTTCACAAAATAGCAAAAGAAATATTTAAACGTGAAGATGAAATAAAAGATTACTTGTATTTTTTATTGGATCACATAAAAAAGAGAGGGCTACATAATTTACAATTTCTAAAGAGCTTTTTCATATTTACTTCTTACTCCTCTTATACCTTTTTGAGATAAATGGGGCAGCTATTGTTTCAGTGACTTTAATAATGGAAAATATGAAGTTCAAGTAGGTTAAAGGGACTTGTCCAATGTCACTTAACTAGTAAATCCCTGTTCTGACTCCTAGTATTATGTTCATTCCTCCATGATATATATTGCCTGTAGTTAAGTAATTCATAATTTCATAACCTTGATAGTAAACATGCCTAGATTTACCATTTTATTTTCTAAAACTTATTGAGAAGACTCAACCGACAAAAAAAAGAAATCTTAGGAAGAACTGTAATATAGACACACCTATATTCACACACATACTAATGTTGTCCATACATATAATTATCAGAGCACTTATCAATCAAATTGTGATGTACAGAGAGAATGCGTTACCTGGGCTTTAAGGAAATCTTCCTTTATTTTAAACTCTTTGACTAGAGGCTTCTTCCTGTAATTAAAATGTTTTAAAACACATCATGAGATTTTTAAATTGCAAGACTATTTTGCTTTCTTGAGGACTATTTAAACGCTTTAAAAAAATTTTTTTCTAAAAATTCATATTTTTGAAAGCCATAAAATCCATATAGGTTAAATAATAATTGAATAACATTTCTCAAACTAACTTCTCACTGGTATGATTAAAATATGAAAAGATGAGATGGGATTTTCAAAGTACATTGGTTCATTTTTTTCTTCTCTTGTCATCTTTTCTTCTCTAAGTCAAAGGTTAAGGCCATTTGTCTGATGAATTTCTTTTCAGAATTCGTGGAGTTCTACAAAGATTGAATTAATTATTTCTTTTTAAGCTGTATATTTATATTAGGGTTTCACCAAGCCAATTCAAAATGCAAAATTACTTTATATTACTAAAGAAAATATTCATTTAACCAGGCCACTTTACAGTAATCCATATACATAATAAATAGATAACTGGTTTTATAAAATAAGTACAATGAAAAATTTCAGTAAAAAAACATAAGGGAACAGCCTAGACTAGGGACTTAACATACAAATTACAAATCTTTAGCTAGACCATCAAGGACACAATGTAAACTTTTTTCCCTGAAATTTACAGATTTAATTCCATTTACCTATTCCTAAATATCATGTGGTTCATTCTCCTCTTTAGTTCTTTGTTCTTCCCTTTTCAGCTTTCTCCCATAATCATATCCTAGTTTGCTTATAAAACTATACACAGTTATGTGCTGCTTAACAAGGATACATTCTGAAAAATCCATCGTTAGATGATTTCATTGTTTTGTGAATATCACAGAGTGCGCTTACACAAACCTAGACAGTATAGCCTGCTACACACCAAGGCTGTAAGGTATCACCTATTGCTCACAGGTTACAAACCTGTACAGCATGTTACTGTACTAAATAGTGTAGGCAACTGTAACACAATGGTGTATCTAAATATATCTAAACATAGAAAATGTACAGCAAAAATGTAGTATAAAATATTGGTACACCTGCATAGGGCACTTATCATAAATGGACCTTGCAGTACTGGAAGCTGCTCTGGGTGAGTCAGAGAGTTAGTGGTAAGTGCATGTGAAAAAGCCTAAGACATTACTGTATACCTCTGTAGGCTTTATAAATACTATACACCAGGCTACATTAAATTTATAAAATAATGAGATTAAATCAAGCACAAGGGAAAATGATGCAATTAGGAGACATGGTAAACTTGAGATGTATGAGGCTGCTGCTGGCATAACACGGCATACTGTTTTACAGTAAACATTTGTTTATAAGTAGAAAGAGTACACTCTTAAATAACAATAAAAAGTATAGGACAGTAAATACAGAAACCAGTAATATAATCATTTATTATCATTATCAAGTAATATGTATCATATAATACTATGTGCTATACTTTCCCACAACCGGCAGCACAGTAGGTTTGTTTACAACAGCATCCCCACTAACACGTGAGTAATGAGCTGTAATATGACCTTGCAATGGCTACAATGTCACTAGGTGATAGGAATTTTTCAGCTCCATTATAATCTTATGGGATCACTGTCATCTATGCAGTCCATTCTTGACCAAAACGTTGTTATGTGGCTCATGACCGGATTTGCTAATGTTATGGTTTTTAGAAACCTATAAATAAGTTATGTTTATATGACCTCAAATTGTTGGTATAAAATGAAACTATCAATCAACAAGAAAAGAAAATATTAGCATGTATCTTTCTGTCTTACTCTTCTGAATCCTCAGATTTTTCTTTGGCATGTTTCTTCGCTGTTGTCATAGTTTTCTTTGTTCGATCATATGTAGGCTTTTTCTGTGTAAGTTTATATAAGCCAAAAATAAAGACAATAAATTATAGGGAAATAAATGCTAATATACACTACTAAGATTTCCATTTTATTTTGAGAATCACTATACTATTGTTCAAGAAAAATTGTCTGAATAGAAACAAAACAAAATTAATGATAAGGTCAAATTGTTTACTGTAGTGCTTTACTGAATGTACATTGTATATAAGTTAATGTATATCAAACCAATTAAATTCCCCTGACAAATTATAGCCAGTTCTGCTATAACATGGCATATGATTTCCTGAAAATCATCTCACTAGGAAAAATCATGCAATGCAAACTGCAGGACATATGGGGGAAATGGGTTTAGGTACACAGCACACAAAAAACTTTGTCACTGATACACATAAAAAAATAGAAATCTAATAAAAACATTAGTCCCATTTTATACAGTTAAACAACTAAGAAACACATACTATGAGAAATACAGCTCTTTATCTTGCAAAAGACATGAAACTTATTCAGGAAAGTGAGCACTAAATAGGTTGCAACTTGTGAGTTATTGTGCAGTGTTGGAAGGTTGTTTATCTGAAATTGAATAAAAAATTGTACCAGGGGTGGCCGGGTGGCTCACTTGGTCAGAGCATAAGCTCTGAGCAACAGGGTTGCTAGTTAGATTCCCACATGGGCCAGTGAGCTGTGCCCTCTGTAACTAGATTGAACACAATGACTTGAGCTGAGCTGCCACTGAGCTGCCAGTGGGTGGCCTCATGGCTCAGCTGATTAGAGCACATGTCCTAATAACAAGGTTTCCAGTTCAAATTCCCACATGGGGTGGTGGGCCATGCCCCCTTGCAATTAGATTGAACACAGCACCTTGAGCGGAGCTGCCAATGGGTGGATGGATGGCTCAGTTAGTTAGAGCACATGCTCTTAACAACAAGGTTACCAGCTCGACTCCTGCATGGGACGGTTGCCTGTGCCCCTGCAACTAGATTGAAAATGGCGCCAGGACTTGGAACTGAGCTGTGCCCTCCACAACTACAATTGAAGGACAACTTGACTTGGAGCTGATGGGTCCTGGGAAAAACACACTGTTCCCCAATAAAGTTAAAAAAAAATGTAACACCAGATATGGACTGGTGTGGTACACTATATACATGGTGAACCGAGGTAGCATGTAGAAGCGATTTTCTACCTTCACCAGTAAAATTGTGCATAAGCAAATGTAAAATTCACATTACACTCAGTGTTCAAGTGCGATAAAACAAATTTTCATTTCAAAACAAACATTATAGCATTACAGATCACATACATTAAAGTATTCTTGAACTACTATGTAACACTAGATTATTTCATTTTAAAAAGTATAGAAAAAACTAACAATTTGTTTATTAAAATTTTAGATGAGCTCAATAATAGAGACCTGTTAAAGGATTAGGTGATTATTTCCTGTTTCATACCACAAGTTCCAAGAGATACCCAATTCACCACAGTGGCACTTAAGTTCTCATTTAAGTTCTCCAAAATATGAAAACTAAATACAATAATGAATTTTTAATGAGAATTGTTAAGATCCACAAATAATTTTTCTATTTTAAATATGAAAATAGTTACTATTCAGAAAAATCTAATATATACTGGCAATCAAAAAGTACTAAAATAATGAAAGGAAAAAAGACTAAGAAATAATGAACAGATTCAGTGAGCCATGGGACTTCAAGTGGACTAATATGCTTGTAATTGGAGTTCCTGATGGAGAGAAGGAGTGGAAAAAGGAAAATTATTTGAAGAAATAAAAGATTTGAAGAAATAAAAGATTTTTTCAAATCTGAGGAAAACTACATACCCACAAAGCCACAACAATATAAGGAAAACTACCCCAAGACACATCAGAATCAAATTATTTAAAAGCTATACAAGAATAAAATGGACAGGAGACTTCTTTCAGAAATAATGCAAGCCAGAAGACAAAGAAGCAACATCTTTAAAATACTGGGGGGGGGGGACAGTCAATTTAGAATTCATTATCCAGAAAAAATATTTCAAAATTAAAATCAGAATCTGGCAAGATGGCAGAGTAGGTAAGTGCTGTGCTTGCCTACTACTATGACCACATCAAAATTACAACTAAACAGAACAACCATCATTGAGAGCTGCCTGAGGTCTAGCTGAACAGAAGTCCTGTAACTAAGGATATACAGAAGAAACCTTGTTAAGACTAGTAGGAGGGGCAGACACACAGAACGTGCTGTCCCACCCAGGTGTGGCAGTTAAAAATCAGGAGGTATATCTTTGCTGTGGAGTTCTTCCCTAAGTAAGGCGTCCCAGTTCCACACCAGGCTCCCCAGCCCAGAGGTCCAGTGAAGTGAAGTCCCCACAAATTCTGGCTTTAAAAACCAGCAGAGATTGTGGCTGCGTGAGATGGTGAGCCTCTGGAGTCCAGGCATTCCTCTGAAAGGACCTGCCCATAGACTTACTCACTGATGGATTCACTCACTTTGAGCTCCAGGGCTGGGGCAGCAGCTCAAAAGGTACCAGCGACATATGGGGAGGAACTGAATTGTTTGGCTTTAGGGCAAATGCAGGAGGAAAAGCTTTCTCCCAGGCAGCAATGCTGGCAGAAGCCATAGTTCCTTTGTTGTGCCCTCTCCTCATCCAGCATGCAGCCAGGGTGAGTAGCATACCTGAGTCTCCATCAGCGTAGCTAATGTAACACCCTTCTTCCTGCCCTGGCGATTCCCTGAGACCCCATCCCACCCAACTTTCAGACACACCCTAGCCAGCCACTTCTAGTGGCTTTTTCGTAAAAACCACCTGCCTTAGCTCATGCCACAGACTTCCCTAGGGTCTCTCAAAGGTTCGAGGAGCCCAGACAAGCAGCATCTGGCTTGAGCATGTCCAATACCTTGGCTGAGCAGCCCTAAGCTTGGCACTAGTGGCAGGTGACTTTGGTTTGTGGCTTGGACTCTCAATGCGCTTCCAAGCACAGCACAGGCGGCAGCCATCTGTGGATTTCTTTGTGGCTTCTGCCGGGTGGCACCAGGTGGGGCATGGGCTGTGGCTGAACTTGGTCCTGGGGATGGCACCCCCACTGGCCAGCTTCAAAGCGAGCTGGAGTATCACCCAGCTGCTTCCAAGAATGACACACCCAGGGGCACATTGGGCAGGCACCAGAGTCCTGCTGAGGAAGACCTGCTCTGTAGGGTCAGTCCCTGCACAACAATTCTTTCACTATAGTCAAGGCCAGTCCTCACAACCAGTGAGCTTGATGTGCAATTATCAACCAAGGCTCAACTACAAGAGAAGGGTACACACAACCCACACCACATGGATTATGTGGCTCAGGTAATCAGAAAGCCTGCACCACCGAGCCCCACAGGACTACATAAGGACACTCCACTAAGACCGGAAGACATAGCAGCCCTACCTAATACATAGAAACAAACACAGGGAGGCAGCCAAAATCGGGAGACAAATAAATATGTCCCAAATAAAAGAACAGAACGAAGCTCCAGAAAAAGAACTAAACAAAATGGAAACAAGCAATCTATCAGACACAGAGTCCCAAACACTGATTGCAAGGATGCTCAATGACCTCACAGAGAACATAATAAAGAGACAGGAAACCTAAAAATGGATAGAAAACATGAAAAGAACCAGTCAGAAATAAAAAATACAATAACGGAAATGAAGAATATATTACAGGGAATCAAGTAGATTAAATGAAGCAGAGGATCAAACCAGTGATACAGAAAATAAGATAGCAGAAAACATCCAGCCAGAACAACAAAAAGAAAAAAGAATCCAAAAAATTGAGGAGAGGTTAAGGGGCCTCTGGGACAACATCAAGCCTACCACATTCACATTATAGGGGTTCCAGAAGGAGAAGAGAGATAGCAAGAAATTGAAAACCTATTTGAAGAAATAATGACAATAAACTTCCCTCACCTAGCAAAGGATAGATGTACTAGACCAAGAGGTGCTGAAAGTCCCAAACAAGGTGAACCCAAAAATGCCAACACCGAGACACATCATAATTAAAATCCCAAAAGTTAGACAAAGAAAGAATCTTAAAAGCAGCGAGAGAAAAGCAGTTAGTTACCTACAAGGGAGCCCCCATAAGACTGTCAGCTGATTTTTCAACAGAAACTTTGTAGGCTAGAAGGGATTGGCAGGTAATATTCAAAGTGATGAAAAGCAAGGACCTACAACCAAGATTACTCTACCCAGCAAAGCTATCATTTAGAATTGGAGGACAGATAAAGAGCTTCCCAGAGAAGAAAAAGCTAAAGGAGTTCATCACCACAAAATCAGTACTACAAGGAATCTTAGAGGGATTTCTTTAAGATGGGAGGGAGGTTAGGGATGGGTGAAAGGGAGAAGGAATTAAGAAGTACAAATTGGTACTTACAAAATAGTCATAGGGATGTAAAATATAGCATAAGGGATATAGTCAACAACATTGTAATAGCTATGTATGGTGCCAGATAGGTACTAGATCTGTGAGGGTGATAGACAGATGGGAGTGGGGTTGGAGGCAGTGTGAAAAAGGCGAAGATATTAAGAAATACAAATTAGCAGTTACAAAATAATCATGGGGATGTAAAGTATAGGGAATATAATCAATAATATGGTAATAGCTATGTATAGTGCCAGGTGGGTACCAGGCTGGTCAGGGGGATCACTTCCTAAATTATATAAATGTCTAACCACTATATTATACACTTGAAACTAATATAAAGTAATATTAAATGTCAATTCTGAGAAATTTTAAAGGGGTGGAAGATCAATAACATTGTGAGAGCATGGTGCAATGTCAGATGGCTGCTGGATTTATCATGGTGATCACTTCTTCAGCACATGGAATAAAATCAATAATGTGTGGGTATTGTTGAATAACTATGATGTATACCTGAAACTAATATATTGGGTCGTTGGGAAAGTCATGATGCATTTTTGCATTGAAAAACATAGAAAAATACATCATGGCTTTCCCGACGACCCAATAATATTGTATGTT